TTAAATTAATAAGTTACAATGAAAATGCAACTGATTCGAGTAGAAGAGTAAGTATTCCTACTCGCGCAATCGTTATGAAGAAAATGAATCATGAACACCCTTGCACATTGACACAACATAAAGTGTCAAGTTGGATTTACTGATCTGTTAGAACTTTATAACAAAGTACGGATCAACCTCAACGTATTCGTCACATTACTGGACGTAAATTTTAACACCAGCTAAGATGCTTGCGGTGCATTTCGTCAGCTACGCACAGTAAGCAGCGAGCCGTGACGGTGGTCCAGCGGGCACAACGGCCGTCCAAGCAGCTTACATACGGCAGACAATGCAGTGTACGAGCAGCGGCGCTGAAGCATGCAGGAATGCATCAGTCGGCCGGCCTTTTGCTTCAAAAAAATTGAAAAAACTCCCAATGGCGGTGAATAGCACCGATACCGAAGACTGTTTTCGTGTTAAAAAAAACAGTTGGGTTTCTCGAATACGTGGTTTCGTAAGTAAAAAAAATAACGCCCCGAAGCAATACAAATTGTCTTTGGATGTCGATATAAATTCTCATTGGTGCAATTATACATTCTGTTGATAGAGCAGAGAAGACATAGAAAAGCGTCTTGAGAATATCTAAAGAAAATTAAAACTAAAATGCATTGAAGCGATGAGCGTTTAATGATTTACCTGTTCGTGATCAATTCAAAACAATTTCAAGTGCACAGCGCGCATGTCATAGTACTTCAGGCCGGTCCTCGTGGATCAATGAATGTGAATAATAGAGAAGCGAAGAGCGGGCCACAATCTGTAGAGGCAGCAGCGCTGGGCACTTTATTGATCTGTGGAATTAATCTTGCTGCCAGATTGTACCTACCAAGCAAGCTTCTAAAATATTTATTAATAATCAATGAGCTTCGGCTTAGGCGTCCCGAACTGAATTAAATTTAATGAGAACCATCGATGTAACATTTAACCATCAATCGCCGACATGAGTAAACGGAGCAATATATTGGCACAAGCCTACTTCCCAAAAAGGATACGTTCAACAACTTTAAAATGTTTTCTCTGCTGCGTACAAACGTCCTCAGGTTGCTACACTGAATAGCTTACGTATAATTTAAGTTGAAAGTTATGTTCTCGGAGAGTGACATACGGCGGTAGAGGGTTGCGTGGCATTATTTATACACATAACTTTACTCTTTGTCACCCACGGTGACAACAAAATTCCATGAGATATGAATAGCGTTCACTTCTGTTGATGCATTCATAAATAAAGGGTTAAGTTCCTAAGAGAATGTGCCGCATCTTTCATCGAAACAAAAAGGAAACAGGTTTCACCGTTGAAGAGTGGAATGAAAGAAACTGACTAAATCTTTCAATAAAGAAATCATAGTTCGTCGTGATATCCTGCACCGGAACAAAAATACCTACACTGAATAAATTTTTTTTCGATAAATTGATCTTTTGCTACAAAAATATCAGGAATAAACTTACGTCAGATATATCTAGGTTGTCAAGTAGGAATCCAGCCGAAGCAGCTCTGGACGGTGGACCTCGAAGACTGCTTGTACGAATCTCATGAAATTTTTGCAACATCTCAGAGGAATTAGCCGAATCTCCGGCAAGCCAATACTCTGACAAGCTTCTGCTAGAGACACAGAGTCCCTTCTGTGGTAAACCTGACGTGCTTTTGACGAATCGGCGAGACACCGTTTCTTTGCTGCGATGAACGTAAGTGGATGGAGAATCGCACAGAAAATACGAGTTATTGTTCGACCGATCAGAAATACATTGTGATCCGAGGTGTTGCGAGCAGCACAGGTCCAAGCGAGGAGGTCGAGAAGGGTGTTCGGTGGCCGGCATTGGAGGCACCCCCGACAGCGCGGAGTTTTCGACCCCACACAGTCTATCCATAAGTGCTGATCGTCCTGCAACTCCAGGGTCCGGAGACGACACGCAGGGCGAAGATTTTCTCAGGGGAGATCGAGGCGTGTTGGCCGATCCAATCGATCGGAGGGTGGACGCTGTGTGAACCGAGGCAGGTGCAGTAATGGGAGAATATTGTACTGTGCAATCTCCTTTCGATAAAATCACTCGACGACCCGACCCTCCACTTGACCGGATCCTTTCGAGTAGCTTTGAAGAAGGGGACGGCGATAAAATTTCACAGGACTGAGTTAGGAGATTATGGTTATAGGAAAAGTCAGCTTCAGTGTTGCTTGTAGCTTTGTCTGCAGTTAAAAATAGACGGCTGGGAGAGTGTTGTCGCTCTCTTCTGTTTGGTGAACACAATACTCTGAGACGAGCTATGTCCAATAAACAAGGTGTCGAAACAGATCCAAACCGATTCAGATTCTGTTCATCGACTGACAAAACTGGAATGTTCTCCTTCTCATTCCGAACATCTTTTTCTCCAAATTTTGACGAAAAATCACAATTTTTAATAGCACCTCCAGACTCCAGCAAGCCCATAGAGCAGTTGGCTTGACTAACATTAGCAGTGATGGAAGCAACGTCGTTGGTTATTGCATCGTGCGTTGTTTCGTATGCGTAGGACTGCTGGTTCCGTTTTGACGAGGTGGCTACAAGTCGAGACGCAGGGCATCCTTTGATCTCGACTAATCCTAGACACCGAGAAACGTCCATCACCCACGCCATGACGTCATGCAGAGCACTTAGACCACTGAACACTCCACATCCTTCAGTAGCTGAGTCCTCCAACGCAGCCCCGCACTGACACACAACTCCTATTTCGTCCACTGTTCTGACGATGCCAAAAAACCTTCAGTCAAATTATTTTTTTTTTCACACAAACACAATACTAACTTCGATCATTTTCTTCATGCCTATGCAAAACACTTTCTTCATACTAATGCCTATGTAGAGATGGAAGAAATTAATATAAAAAATTACGAACATCTTTGTAAATTAGCCGTTCACGAGCATTGGAATTATCCACTTATCTGTCATCACTCAATAGTGTTTAGCAAGAAAGCGCGAGTTTTCCGGTTGGCGATAAGACTGCGTTTCACTTTAAGATCATGACGCAGCGTTGCATATCTCGAGTAATGATTGGACTATCCGTGCTTTACTTTTTCCCTCTATTAATGCAGAATCGAATAATTCCCGAAATTATTAAAATTTGTATGTAATCTGCAGGAATAATAAACACCAAGCCACATCCACGCCTGTGCATTTACGATCCCAAGCGCCTAAACTGAAATTAATACCCAAACTCCAAGGCTGGAATGCATATCAAATGAAGGGACTAGAACGCAACAATGGGTAACCTAGAGACTGTACAGTATACAACCATGACTGATGACTATCCTGTCTCCCTACAGTCAATGACTGAATTTCCTGTTTCCATCTTCTTGGTTATTACATGGATTACATGGAGATACGTTGCATCCATTTCTCTCAGAACTACTTACCAGAGTATCATACGGCTTAACGACATACCTAACGTTCTATTACAGTTGAGGTGCTCAACGGTCAATATCAATTACTTTTATTATTAGGATTTTAAAGAGACTTTCTAGCTTTATCTTAAGTTTTAAAATTTTCCGTCAACCAAACGCAACAAAATTTAATTTTGATCACTAATTTGCAGTTTTTATTATAGAGAGCGAGCTAAGTGCACATCTATTAGCAAGAATCAAGAATATTTAGATAATATGTTGAACCTAAACATATCAACTATTCAACTGCTAGAGTATCAAGCACGTGATGTGAAAAAAGTAGTCAGTCTAAAATATCATGAGATAATTATACCGTATTAAACAAAGCAAAATGGATCTGCCATAGCGTGTCGAGTTAACAATGAAGTGAAAAAATTAGAGCCGTCAAGCATCAACTAGGCCGCTAGCAGTCCTCGATACGGTTTGACAATGGAATAATCATATACTTGAATGCTGCCACAAATAACGAGCAATACAAGATCATGCCTTGGAGCAATATCCTGCACAAGATTCCCGAGCAGGTCTGACATCCTGCCCCTGGCCCTAGGCAGCCGTAGCCCTAGCGTCGCTACTGAGCTACAACATGAAAGTGATTAAACTGAAAAACTAAGAAACATTTGATGATAAACCATACTAAAATAAAATTTAAGAAGTTAATTCAACGCGGGAAAATCATTGTAAGTGTGAATAATCCTTTTCGAATCACAAAGAAGCAAGACGTGACATCGCAGCGTTCACAAAAACCAACGTTTTCCAGTAAGGAAATTTCGACACACGGTGGACCTGGCAAACCGTCACAGGAAGTTTGATCGTAACCAAAGGTTCACACTCCCACCGATAACAAAAGTTTATAAGGCTTTCACATAATTCTAGAGATTTTTCGCGTACATACCATTATAATAAGGTAATATGAAAGATTTAAAAGATCTTAGACAACGGAGAGATGTAACCAACGGTCTTTCAGTTACGAGCACTGCGGAGCACATATCGCACACAACCTCACTCAGCGACTGCCAGTGGTACACTGTCGTGGCAAGGGTAAGTGGTGCAGGGGGGAGAAGGGTGGAGGTCCTCAATTACGGGAGGAAGGTGGGTTACCGTGGGTACAGATTACACATTTTCAGCTTAAATTTTAGATCGATGTTCCACTTGCTAAAACCGATACTCCGAGATGAGTTTGCTTTGGACTTCGGTCTAAGATCCATCATGCACTACTGATCACGATGATAAAATTGAAAAATGGTTACAAATAAGTAATAAAATTAAAATTTGCCTAAAAGTCAGAGAAAATGCAGACAAATGCAAGTACTAAGCACCATAATCAAAATTTCGATATTTTTGCCGATAAACTCAGAAATTTCCGAAAAATTTTCTTCCAAGCAAGAATCGAACTCCTTGAGAGGAGTCCAAAATCCAGGAAACAATTCTGTGAATGCAATTGACGAAAATAGTGAAAAGTTCCATTGTGACGTGTTCATTAGTAGATTCCCGAATAAGACACATAAACCCCTACTAAATAGACGTTCAACAAAAGCAACTATTTGTACTTACATGGAAGACGGAGGTGGCGGTCTCCGCTAAATATTCCGAGTAATTATTCAGTCCTCCATTTCCGGCAATCTGCAATAACATTGGTCAGTAAGCGTCAAGTAATATTGGCAAGAATATAGTTTTCTACCTGACGTTGTTTAATAAGGCATGTAGAAACATTATTATAATGTTTCCTGTTCAGCACAGGAAAACCTTGGCTCACACAAATAAGATGCATGATATAAAAAATTGCAAAAATCATCAGTGAATGAAGCGGATATAATGCAAATGGAAACAATTTATGAGAAAGCGTTACCTCTATACCGGAGTCGCCGGAGTCTCCAGAGCTGCATTTGGAAGCGCGGGCATCACGCAGCCTCGCCTTGCGTCTGTCCTTGCTTGACCGGAACACTGGCTGCCCGAACCTGTATGAAAAAAATTTGGCATTGAAATTAATCCTATTTTTTTATACAAAGGAACTCGTTTATAAACACGGCCATAAGAAAATTGTTGATATTGGCAGACAATATTTGTGCAATACTTTTAAATACATTCGAAACATTTGGGTCGTGTGGTGGGTATTCAAGCTTAACATTTGAGTCTCTGGTTTCTTTAAGTCAAGTCAAATTTAATCTAAAACAGATTCAAAAGTTACATGACAAGGGGTTGTGAATTTTCGCCGCCAGGCTTCAAATGCAAAACAATCGTTCGCTGAAAACGATAATTTGTTAAAATATTAGCTAAAATTTAGACTGTGGACTTCCATTGGCGCTTTCACTTCGTCTTGAACTAAAATTGGCCAACTATTAAGGGCGCATGTAGAACTGTAATGCACATAGTTAATGAAATATGAGAACCAAGTACTTTGACCTCCGAAAGTGTAATTACCCATGAAAATACAGAAAATGTGAGGATTTATTTTATATATTCTGAGAAATGCTATGTGCTAGCTTGTATTGCTAATACAATATTAACTATGACTTACGGGTATCTATCAATGGGAGGCAGCAGGGAGGAGTTGTACAGAATGTAGAGAAGCACAGCAATACAAACTAATATAATAAAAACAACCACAGCGATATTATTTTTAGAGTTTACATCTTCTAGAAGTTTGGTTAAGTTAGCCATCAAATAAGCTCGGGAAGTTCATAGAAAATGTAACAACAGATTCCAAAGAAAACGAGAGCCATTGAACGTTTTCAAGGTCTAACCACTTCATTCTAGTAAACACAAACTTTCAAGGCCGTTTTTTACCAACTCGCATCATTAACAAGAAATAACACCTATATTTTGCAAATTTGTCTGATTTAAAAAAATTACAACATTATTTTTTAAGTATAATCCACGCCTGTATCTTGACTGAAGCTTTGAATTCCTAAATTTTCACTCGCTTGACACTCAGAGCGCGTTCACAAGTGACAACTTCAAACCTATCAGCGAGCAACACAGGTGACAACGAAGTGCATCTACTCGTATAAATTGATTCAATATTAAGGAGAAAAGGCCAGCAGAGGCATTATTCTTTCATATGTTCCTAGTTCAGAGTAAAATGAAAATGATTTTTAAAGATCGTCCACGTAAATAGAAACAATAACACACATTTATAATCTCTGTAAACATAAATCGTTTGATACCATTTAGAAAATGGATGTTTTCATACCTCACCATCTCTATGACTAAGTTATTCACCACAATATTGTTTACACATACTACATTTGTGAGACGTTCGTCTATGGTAGTTAGGTCAGGAAAAACAATCTTAACCGTGAACAATAAATAAGTTCCAGTCAAAAGCTGAGTATTGAGACTATTTATGCCACCAAAAACCTATGAGCCTACGAAATCCTCGCTTAGGAGCTTAAAACGTGACTTTCAGAAACAACGGCAGCTGGACAGCGCTGACAGCAAACAACTTAAAGGATCGAACTCCCGCAACGAAGCCCTATAACTGCAACAAGCATTCCTGGCTCTGTCCTCACAACGACCAATATAAGGAAGAATAAGTTGAGTTCAAAGTTGGAATGGCAAGCGAGTTGAAATAAAGACATGCAAGACCACAGAATAAAGAAACAGGAAGCATGAGAGCCCGGAAATGATCTTAATGGAAAGGCTACAAGGAAATATCGAAATATGAAAATAACTTGTACCACTCAAGAATATGCATACATCAAAATGAATATTCTGAATTTTAGTACGGCTGTTAAAAACAAACAAATAAATGCATAGTTCAGCAGCAGCTGACGGTAAAAGAAGTTTCATCGGCACATGTTCTGGCACTGAAGAATCGAAAATATGATGTAAATTTGCAGACTATCTGATGACCCCAGGAGCAGAAGGAATGCAGAACCTTGCCAGTCGACGACCAAGAAACGAAGAGCAACGCCCGCTCAAAGGTCGTTGCAAGGAAGACAATGAAAATTTTCGACACTTCTCCGGATAAGAAAAGGAAATTACTTAATACGTACAAAGGTCAGGTTATGCGGGAGAGAATTCACGAGTTCTGATAAATGCCAGTCTTGGAAGGGAAACCGTGGCGAAAAGGAGCTGCGCGGCCTCAAGAATTTTAAAGGTAAAGGTTGAAATTGTAAAGCCCAAAAGTTTTCAGAAGTAAAATGACAAAGCTACGTGGAAATTCATTTATCTAACTTACGTTCGCTGGTAATGGAATAGATGGTATGAGCAAAATAAAAATTCTGAAAACGCGAGTCTCGGCTGCGTCATTATTCAAAATGACCTTAATTGTCAAGAATGTAAGTCCAAGTGGAGAGAAGCACTTACGTTAATTGGTAATGGAATAGTTGGTACGAGCAAAATGAAAATGCTGAAAACGCGAGCCTTGGCTGCGTCATTATTCAAAATGACCTTAATTGTTAAGAATGTAAGTCCAAGTGGAGAGAAGCATGACGAGTGGCAAACGTGGAACACAGCGCTAGATTTACACGGCCAGGCGGCAGATGCTCATTGGTCGACTTCCCGCATTTGTGGCCGGCCGAACAATTCCGCGCTCCAGATTGTGGACAAATCCGTGGCAAGTCGCGTAAGTAGAATAGAACCATCTGGGATTGTGAGGAAGATGAACCACTGAACCGGATATTTATAAAGTGTTCTATAGGCCCCAGGAAAGATATTATAATTTAACCATTGTAAACTGTCCTCACCGCTTTAGTGTAATGTTAAAATTATAAATAATTTAAAAATTTGCAACGAAGCAGTTTTCAATCCGTTATATTCAAAATGAACGTAAAGCATTCATTCATTGCAGGACAAAAAAAAATCATAAATTTTGAGAGCGCAGAATGCACACACAAACACGAAGCAAATACTCGCGCCAGACCAACTCATGCTCTAAGTAAAGAATAACTACTTGGTAAAAAGCGCATGCATGGGCACGCAACAGTTTGTTCGTGCCAAAGATCACGCGTCGCGCCGAGAGGAAGCAAAGTCTGATATTAAATGTCAAGGATTGCAGCTTCTGTTGGACGACGCTGCTGCTTGCATTCCGTAGCATTGTTACCGCCCGCCGCTGGCAGCTTGGCCAGAGGCTTCGGTTGCCGGTATCATTATGGAAATTAGAGCTATTTTGTCAGTACATTATTGTCTGAAGCTCCATATTTTTTAATGTGATATTAATAGATTCTACCAACATAATAATTTCTATTGTGTAATAAAATTTTGTTAATTCGACAACGAAAACTAGTCAGTCTAATGCCTTATTTGAGGCAGTGGAAAAAGTGATGCTGGTAATGCATAGAAAATAACTTGTACAGACGAGAAAAGAGAAGCAAGAAACGCATACAAAGTTTGACATAGCTCAAATATTACTGCATTCGAAAACAGTATAAGGGTGGAAGAAACTGGGGGAAATAAAGTTTGAGTCTAATGAGATCATTTACCATAGCTAAAAATTAAAGCAAACCCTTGATTTTTCTGGGGCTAAACAAAGAATAACAGTTTCGGATATGCATGGTCACCGCCCATGACAATTCGATCACTTCACGACTCTGAGCACGAAACACCTCGATTGTTTACTCTGTCTTTTAGGTGCAGTCTTCTGAAGGAAGACGGTGAGAGGTCGCATTCTCAACCTCGTCATCGCAATTCTCAAGCCAAATGCTTCCTGATCTTCAGTTAAATATGGGGAGACTGAACCAAAATTCGTAATGTCGCCTTGAGAAAACGTTATGCGCAGCTATATTATTTAACGTAACTGCTTGCATGCTTAATTGGTCGTTATATGGGTTACTTTATTGTACATCGTTAGTTTATCATCGTTAGACAGATTATACATGCTATACTTTCCACATTTATCCCTCTTCTACAGTGGGGCTAATTGATAAACTTACATTGATGTTCCCGGGAAATTATTTCATCTACACCAGTAGAGAGTGATTTCTAAGATGAGTAATTACGAATTTCATGTTTATGGAAATATATAAAAAATTAAACAATATAGACAGAGAATTCAAGAAAATATATATGATAAGTAAAAAACAAAAGTAACGCGAAAAGGGAACAAAAATTCGCGCGCCCATTGAGCACCAATGACTTGAGACTTCAGCCAAGAACCACTTCCTAGTTTCCATTCATTTTGGCAACTTCACTGGAAAAAAAATTAACGCACGAAGAACAATTAGGCTTTGAAAGTGCTGAAGGTTACTCACTCAATGGACTATTTAGCCCAACGAACTATGAAGTTCCGCAGCCAGCTAGCTTTCGCAGATCATGAAGTCAAAGTAAATGGAATGCAATTTTGACTTCGTGTCAAAATTTGACTTCACAAAACCATTGAGAAGTCCCTCGACATTCCATCGTAACAAATTCTGCGCAATATCAAATAAAGGTTATTCTCAAAATGAAACAAGGAAATAGTTTGTAATGTCGGCTTCAATTGATCGCATGAAGTTTCAAGCCATAACGTAAATAATTGAAAAAAGTTTAAACCGAGTACTTGAGGCCTATTATTATCGGCAAGACGAACAATTGATAGAAAGGCATGATGATAGTGGTATAATGAATTTGACTTGGTGATGATGGCATGATGCTAGTGGTATTATGCATTCGACTTGGTGATGATGGCACGATGATAGTGCCATCATAGTGGTATTATGCATTAGACTTGGTGATGATGGCATGATGCAAGTGGTATTATGCATTCGACTTGGTGATGATGGCATGATGTTAGTGGTATTATGCATTCGACTTGGTGATGATGGCATGCGATGAAAGCTTGAGAGACAACATTCTCATCCAGTGTGAGAACAATAAACGATCTCTACAGCACACCAGCAAATATATAAAACAAATGTAAGATAACAAACTGCATGACGATGTTTTTTTAAGCGTAGAAGCCCCAATTATTTGTATTGCTTTTAATTAGCAAATATCAGCAAATAACAAGCAGTTGCTGGCTGTGGGAGCCGCGCTA